CTATTTTTAGAATGTGATTTTGTATATAATCTGTGCATTTTGAAACTAGAGACATACAAATTGTAGGAATTTGGATATTTATCTTATTATAATAAAGTAACCTAGTATCACTGTGAAAAGAAAATTCACTATTAGGATAATGTTTGTCCTGACGTTTTGTTTTCTGCTTGTACACCACCTATACAATATACCTTTTTTGAAATCCTTTGAAATGAATACATTTTCCACTGAGATATATCAACAGGCAAATATATCAAGGTTGAGAGTCTTATTAAGCATCGACTACAATACTACAATAAACTACAAGACCCCCCCCCCCAAAAAAAAATTACTACTGTAAACAAATGTTACAAATAATGGTCTTTTTGTTGACTATTTGCTGAACTATTGTTGAACCATAAGTGGGTGTTGATTGACATCTCCTTTGTTTTTGATTGACATCTCGCCGTCTTTGCATACATATAGTTAGCAGTAAGATTCCTCTATGTCTCTGTCGCATAAGACATGCAACATGGTGTATTCATGTGTATGAATAGGATTAGTTCTGATGGTCACTTTATATAGCAGCCTCTGCCATCAGTGTGTGAATGGGTGTGACCTGCATTGTAAAAGCGCTTTGAGTAGTCAGGCTAAGACTAAAGACTAAAAAAAAGTCCTATACAAGCTCAAGTCCAGTTACCATTTATCATTCCTGCACCCAAAATATGCCAACCACAGTCGACACTGAAGACCTACAGCCATCAATGATCAGGGCACATGGTGCTCACAAGCCAAGAAAGCTGCTGTATGATTATTAAACGATTCATTTGCAAACTTTTGTAAGAGGTAAGCAAGCATAACTAGTCCCTGCTTAAATCTGGATTGATTCTCATTTGATGCACTCTTAAACTAACTAACTTATATGTCCATTAGAACCTAAATGACGTGGTTTGAAGGCCTTTTGTGGCCGTGATTATCCAATAGCCTCAAAAAGTGACTTATTGGACCAATAGGTGTGTTTGTTCAGGAGCTGAGCGCATGCCTCCTTTTTCATCTCTTTGAGGGGAAATGAGAGTAAGCACATTGTGTCCTGCACCACATTCCTGAACAAGCAGAGGTTCAATCACATTTGCAGAAGTTATCAAAACTTTCAAAGAGCTCAGCTGGCGCCTTAAGCCACAGGAAATTCACTGGGACATCTGGAGGGATGTGTGCAGATTATTGCTCATTTAGTCTGTTCGAGACATCAGTAGGAAGAGGACTGAGATGGCTAAACACACGCACAGACTGGAGGACACACACACACACACACACACACACACACACACACACACACACACACACACACACACACACACACACACACACACACACACACACACACACAAACAGGCTTGGCTTTGGCAGATCTTACCCTAGGCGCACCACAGCACACCTGTGTATAATCCCCCATGATGCCCTCTGGTCGTTTGTCCAATCCCCTCGCTACTCTTGTCCTAGCGCATCCAATCAGAGGACAGGTCAGGTAAAGTTTGCCTCCATCCTTTTAGCCCTGTTTTAGAGTAAGAGGATGTGAAATATTAAATAAGTTGGAGATAAAGTCTGTTTAGTGTTTTTCTTTAATGCAGTATTAAAAAAAAAAACCTGACTCAGAGTATACTTCGAGGCACTCAGATAAACTGTGTTCCATGATGTGCTAGGAAGAAAAATATTTTGTGATGTTTGGATCAGAAAGTTGAATATGGCAATGTTGAAACCAAGTTGCAAAATATCTTATATTTGGATTAATACTAACTATTGCTAATTATTACTAAGTGAACAACATTGGTTACCATTTGGTTCTTGAACGCCCCATGGTTTATAGAGGTGTATTCATATAGATATGCAGTATAACAGAAAATATAATATTGAGTTTGTATGAATATCCCTTGCACAGATTCTGTCAGGAAAATCTTTGTCTCTGATGTGGAGTAGGAGGATACAGCCTACATTTCAACTTTTTTTTTTTTAAGTTATACAGAAGATAACCTTTATCGACTTCTCAGGTGCAGGACTTTTTTTCGTCTATTTTCTTCTTGATCTCTAGGTTTTGTTCTTCCAAACTACACATATTGAGGTGAACATATAGATCCTATATAGATCCCAAATTATTCTGGGTCTCGAGAACAAAAACGGAAAGGCCAAATTCTATATATTCCCCAACCAGCTCCAGCTCCATCTTTTCTTTCAAGTGTAAAATGCAACCAGACAACACCTCAACACCACGATAAAAGCTCAGGAAATTACTTCCTTATTTTAGGTGTGATTGATTGTCCCCCTGACCTGTTAGACTGAAGAGGTGGTTAAGAAGAGGAGGCAGACTTAGATAATTGGGCCCGGTGGTATCAAAAGCCCGGCAGGTGTTGAGAGAACTCTCATAACGCAGGTACCTGCAGCGGCTGCAGCCCTGAACTCAAACTCACGTAGGATTTCACTACCTTGGAGGAATTTTGGTGGTTTTATGTTTGGCATGTCTTTTATTGAATAGATGAGTTATGAGAGATACTTGTAACTCCTATTGACATATTGGACATGCCACAAGAAGAAAAAATATACAGGTGTCAGAAATCCTCCGTGGTGTCAACAAATAAAGGGTGCATTTTTTTTTGTCTCATCTTTTTTTCTTGGCATGAAGCTAATGTCATCCACTCTTTTTTTTTAGAAGTGATGTCGGTTGTTAAAAACATCTTGCGATCACAAGAGGGATATAATTCCCTTACCTGTTGAAAAGTAGGCAAGAGCATAAACCATGAGCAGAAAAGGATCAGAGACGGAATTCTCTTGAAGAGAAAAAGCACAGGTGTTTTCACTCTTTGATTTCATTAGGGACGCACGGGGCTTTCTGGGACCTTCTAGCCGTTTCAAATGAAGAGGTAAAAGCCAGGCATAAGCTTAAATGATAACATTCTTTCTTAGAGAAAAGTATGCATGTACGAATCAAAGCTATTGTACAATCCTTTTTATTATCTGCAAGCCAAGGGCTCTGTTCCAATTAAAGAAAACGGCAGATGGACCGCTCAACAAGCATGCACACAAACTAACCTACGATAGGTACAGTAAAGTACCTGGTATTACAGAGCCCAGAGAAGAGCTTTTTACTTTAAAAACTATTTAATCAGGAAAATCAACGCCTAACATCAAAGAAATGGAGATGAGGGACAGGCGGATAAAGAGGCTCATCAAAGAAGGAGATCTAGTTAGGGATTCAACGCCCTAATTCCCTTTCTCTTAAAACCTTCGTCAGAGGGGGCACAGGGCCAATTTGCTCCCTAAATGGCTGCGTGTGAATGTGCAGATTGCTTTGCATAGCCGCTGGGAATCCGGGCTTCTGCCTCTTTCTCTTCCCCGCACGGAGCCTGTGAATTAGAAAAGATCCAAAGACAGATAGGCTTAACGGAGCCCTAGCTACCTTCCTTAAGTCCAGAGCCTTGTTCCAACTTCCAACTAATTCAATCCAGGGCATAACTCAATTAATACACTTTAATGCTCTGTTTCTTCTTTATCTCGTCTCTTTCCGGGGGATTCGGGACTTCGGCTAGAGTTGTAGAGCAATATCTGCAAAAAGGTTTGGATTGTAAGTCTTCCTGAATGTGAGGACAATGACATGTCCCTGTGGCATTAAAGTTGATCATATATGCATCCCTAATCTCCAACATCCCCTTAATCTCGCTTTCTTGGGACCCGCCGTGCATTAATGTAATGTAGTGCATAAAATATTGACAAATGCTCTTCCCTGTCCCGGGTTTTATATGCATTGCTATAGGATTCATTAGTCAAAATGTCCTTGATTTAAAAGAAGACCTCCATGTGTCCATATGATGAGCTCCATGTTTTAAACACGGTGTCCAATCCAATCATCATCTAGGATTCTAACCCCCACCTAAGGTGTACATTTTCTTTTAATCCAACAAGGGGCTATTTCAATACTTTCATATGTGCTTTCATTAATTTCAGCCTTGCATGACTACCAAGGACGAATACTGTAACACATAAACTCTGCAGACTTGCAGTATTTCTAGGAGAAATAAAGATCACATCGGTCAGATGCATAAATAATAGGCCCAGCCAGCAAACCTACCCAGAATTCTTCGGGGCATTCATGCACCTCATGAGGACAAATATTTTCTGCTTTATCAGAAACATTAACCTCATCTGAGTGCAAATGGGTGTGTGTGTGTGTGTGTGTGTGTGTGTGTGTGTGTGTGTGTGTGTGTGTGTGTGTGTGTGTGTGTGTGTGTGTGTGTGTGTGTGTGTGTGTGTGTGTGTGTGTGTGTGTCTCTCTGAGCCGCTAGATCCGAGACCCGCTCTTTGCAATAGGCTTTCTATCACGCCTGCAGTTCCGATTGATCGTCTCTGCAATCAGCAATTAAGCCCTAGTGATCAGAGCGGTCGAGGGGGGAGAGAAGGAGAGAGGGAAGGAGAGGTGGGAGGTAGCCCACCAACCCCACCCCGCTCCTCTCTTGTCAGCCCAGGAAAGGCTTCACTCAGCTGGGGTGCGTTTGGCCCGGGGCTGGGCTCACTGGTGGAGGTTAACTCCAGCATAAATAAGCATCTTTGGACTCATTACAGGGATTAGAGAGTAATTCGCCTGCGAGGAAGGAGACGACTGCCAGGGTTTTGGTACAGTTTACTACAGTCTTATAGGGGCGAGGGCCCAGGAGATTACAGAGGGAGAGAGATGGGAAGGCTGCAAAAGAGAGAAAGGCCAAGGGAAAAGAGAGGCTGGCTGTCAAGTGTGCGTATGTGCGAGAGTCAATCCAAGCCCCCGGCTGCCCCCTTGATCTTCAGCATGTTGGGGTGCTGTGAAAACGGATAATGGGAGTTAGAACGACCGGGTCTGTCTAGAGAGAAGTGTGCTGATTGTTATAACTTTCCCTCATCTCTCTCTCCTCCACTTAACTAAGTAAACACCCAAGAGGTAGGACTCTATCAATTTTAATGATGTTGAAATGCAATTTAGACACAAAATACACAACAAATGCTAATTTGGCCATGATGAGAGGCATCAGAAATTTCTCCCATTATTTATTCAGCTGACTTTCTGCATTTTTCATCAGAACAAATATTCCCATTTCAACAAACAGACGCACACACACACACACGTGCTAACACACAGCCAATTTGGAGCATAAATCAACACGTTCCCTCATCAAATATATGCTCTGTGTGGTTCTCTGCAGTATGTCCAGCGCACCAAAGACAAATAGTTCTGTCCAAAGTCCAGCCGGAGAAACGGATGGGGCGGAGGATTGTCAATATATGCACACATACATTAAACACAGCAGGTCGATGTCGTGTGTTCAGAAAAGACACCGACATCATAAAGACTGAAGTCAAGTCATAAACTCATCCCTGTTTACCTTGTGCATCATGAAGCTCACAGAACAGGGTTTTCTTTTAAACCCTTTTTTTGATGTTTTAATGTCTTTAAAAAGTAGATTTTATTAAATTAGCTTTCATAGAAATTAGGTAAATGTTAAGATTCATTTACATGTTCGTTCACTGTGTTAGTGTTTTTTAAACACACAACTTCACAGAAATGAATCACCATTTTAATTTATCAAGTCTCTTCTTCAGACGATCAGCAGCCCATCATTTCCACCTCCATCTTCACAGACTCAGGCTGTCCCGCTTCTGCCCCACATTTGGGACAGGTGAGATGTGCGTCTGCGATGCTGTGGCTTTTAATACAGTAGTAGCAGAAAACATGCTGGCAGCCCACAGAATGAGGCATGGTCGGCCACTCTCCGCACAGTCCGCACTCTTTCCACACCCCTGTCCCTTCTGTCGCTCCCTTCCCGTCGGCGCTTCCTCCCCCCAAAACAATTGAAGATAGCGTTGCCTTCAGCTTCCTGGTATTGACGAGTGGCAGCAGGAAGATGAGGAACTCTGCAAAGCCGTGCCACAGCAGCTCTCGGTTCATGTACTGGTAGGTTACATCTCGGACCACATTGGGTTTGCTGAAAACTGCCCTAGCTCCCACAATCCTTTCAGCCAGGACAGGATGGCGACCTCTCCTTAGGAACACCAGGAAGTTGATGAGACTTGCAAGCTGGGCGATACTAGATGCTAAGATCAGGCAACTGCGGAGACCTTTTTGGAGTAAACCCCTGTCTCCATCAGATGCAGGTCCACCTGGACTCAGACCCAAACACAGCAGCAGGCTGTGGGAACGTTCCTGGAGCCAGCGCGGACCCGCGGTAAGCAGGGCCAGACCGAGCTTCTGCCTGCGGGTCAGAGGTCTGTAGCGCGGAGATGTGGAGAGGACGTTGTGGTAGCGTAAGCTCAGTAAGGACTGGCCCACTGTTGTGCTGTTAGAATACAGAGTGAACCTCCACAGGAGCAGCTGAAGCAGGGCCCTCAATTCAGGCTCTAGTGGGGTGAGAAGGCCCGGGCGGCAGTTCTGGAAGCACTGGGAGAACTGGCTCCATAGAAGCTGCTCGAGTGAAGAGTCTAGCTCGATAGCATCCAGCTGACTGATGCGCAGCACCGCCGTCTGAGGGTCAACCTCGGTTTGTGCAGTAGAACCTTCAGCTGGCCGTGTCGGGTTGTTCTGGCTCTCCATACCCACTGAAAAAATAAAAACAACAGATGTATTTTAATCTTGTTTTTAAGGATTCTATGAGTATATTACAAACTTTGTGATTGAATCACAGTGCATACAGGCGGAAGGATGGATATTGTTTTTTACAGCCTTGATATTATTTCTGCTTAGTTTAGGTCATTCCTGGATATCAATATACTGCATTACTATCTTTATTGTAGTCACTGCTGACAATACAATCTTTGTTCAAACAGCTTTACTCTGAGTTTTATAGATTTGACGAGAACTTTTTTTATGACAAAAAACAAAGGGTGAAAAAAAGATCCTAATGATGGTACAAAAATACAAAATACAAGATCCATGTCGTAAAAAGAATCCTTCATTTTAACCTGAGTCAATACATTGACATGACATATATAATCAAAAGCCTTATGCAACACCTTACTTGTTATATATCAACTGAAAAGATGAACTACATATACTATATAGAAGCAAAGCAGTCAGGGACAACAGGGTAGTTGGGAGGAAATGAGGCCCTGAAGGTGAAGCCCATCCTGTTAGGAGGGTTATTTTTTCTTTACACACAGGAACGGAAATCACTTTTCACATGTAAAACCCGTCCTTAATGCAACCTTTGAGCGGCTGCAATGCAAAAGAGCAGGGGGTCTTAGACTGCTCTCTTCAGTGTATAAACACACACACACACACACACACACACACACACACACACACACACACACACACACACACACACACACACACACACACACACACACACACACACAGACGCACAAGAGGCGAAGCCCGGGGGCTCTTGGGTGCCTGCTCCCTCTGGAGATAGGGGTGTGTGTACAAATCACATCACCAGGGATTAGGCTAACGGCACAGTCTCTGGTACACCGTAAACATCTGCCAAATGTGGAACAATTTTCCTCCCCTGGAGTCGACTCCATATGGGATCTCACCATTGTGACGTCTGGGCTATTTAGCGCAGCATACGTTTCCCAAAAGTGCTCACAGTCCCACCCCCCCAGTTTTATCTGCCCTTTCCTCAAATGAAACGCTTAAGAAGTGGGAGACTAACTAACGCACAGGGAGACAGAGCAAGGGGCCCACAGAGAGCGAGAGAGAGAGAGACAGAGAGGCCTTTTTCTGACAGTGGCTTTTGTGTCTCGCTGAACAGGATTTGTCACGAGGCTTTAAAAGAGATTTCAGCCGGGTAAATATGGCAGTTTTGACAGAAAGAGAGAGAGATGATGGTCACTTTAGACGTTTCTTGAGGAGGTATGAAAAAAAACATTTAATGTGCTGTGGCAATGCTGGGGTTTATTGTGGCGCACAGGACCATCTGTGTATTCATGATGTTTCAATAGAGCCAGGATACACCGTCCAACTAAGTTAGAATTAGCAAATGAATGAGAAAAAAAAAAAAGAGTGAATTCACGCTGAAGTAAGCAGGTGTGACAAATTCATTGAGGTGCATTTGAAATGCTGCCATGTTTAGCGACTACAACTCGCCTGTGATGGAAGGAGAGTTTGGATTAAATAAAAATTAAAAAGACGCAGGCTGAATGTGTATGTTAACCAATAAACAGGCGCCATTTGTTTCGCTTAATCTGAAAGTTTTTCCATGATGGGAGAAAATGTGCAGATTATGTGCCTGAGTGTGTGTGTGTGTGTGTGTATGTGTGTGTGTGTTTATTTATGTCAATGCTAGCCTTGATCTATGCAGAGCTCAAATACAGAGTTAAATGAATCTATCACACACACGGTCTTGCACATACACACACAGGCCAGGTGGTGGAAATCCCCGTCACAGCAGCAGCCCTCTCGGGAGAGTAAACCCGGCCGGGTCCAATATTCTTTTCAAAGCCTTTTATCGAGCAGTTTACAAGTTATGAATGAATATGTTTTATTTGGGGAAACACGGTATTGACAGCCACCTATCAATAGTAATGTGACTATTGTCAAGGGTCTGTCAATATTAATGTAATTATGATGTAGAGGGATCAGAGGGATGCCGGAGTCGGGGGCCAAGTAACATCTCCTGCCCACTGCCATATCAATAGCTGGGATTGCTATTGACAGCTTCCCTTCAGACTTGCAGCACTTGCCAAATATATAACAAGCAGACACTTCAGTCAATGCCGGGCTGCCTATAAAAATTAAGCATTTGAATTTACAGGGTTTTTGCTGTGGACAGCTGGAAATCCATGTTCCTTATGTAATAGTCAAAAGTCACAGTCAATGACAGTGTTTACAGAGTACGTGGTGTGGTGAGGTGTGTGTTACAAGACAGACAGTACAGCGTTTGAACACACCATGTATACACATAAACCAGAGGACAGATTGTTTTCTCTGTTGTACACACACACACACACACACACACACACACACACACACACACGATATTAACTTGATCTTTCACTTAAGGGACTACCAACCAACCAACCAACCAGAGAGAAAGTTTGATTTTTGATTTTTTCGCCAGCTGAAGAGAGACAGGAGGAGTCACTGGGAGGAGAGAGAGAGGGGGGGGTGGCATGCAGCAAAGGGCCGAGGCTGGATTCAAACCCACAGCCACTGCGACGGAGACTCTGTACATGGGGCGCGTGTCATAACCGCTAGTCTATCGACGCCCCGCAGCAGAGAGACAGAATGCCCTCTCTTGGACAGTCGGTACCTGGTTACTAAAGGAGAAGGGTTTCAGGAGTTCACTGAAAACCAACAGTCACCTTAAACATCTCAAAGCTGTATAGAAGACTTTTAAAAGATCTTACTGGGAATTTTAAAGGTTATTTCGAGTCAGGTCAGATGAGACTTTTCTCTCCCCCCATTGTTCCCTGAGCATGTGCATCTTATTCAAACAAAGAGTGCACTGACTCGAGGCTGACTTACAGAGAACAACATCCAGTCTAACAGGCTACACACTGCAACGTCGCTTCAAGGCAAAAGGGGGCCATGACCAGTGAGAGGAAGGAGAGATGAGGCAACCAAAGTGTTCAGAGCGTCAGACTGAAGCCTTGCGGCTGCACCGGGTCCTCTGAAAACTAGACAACAGGCTGTAATGACAGCTAACAAACAGAAAGACGGATAGACTAAGAGACAAAGAAAAAAAAAAGGCCGACACGTCAGACAACACGTCATTAAAACCGTCGACTGGGAGATCTGAGCTCACTGTCTACTGATACAGTGAAGGGGGAAAAAAACAGGGGGCAAAGATAGCTAACGAGAAAAAAAATAAAAATCAAGGGGTGGGGGGGGGGATAAGCACAAACCTCTCCCTGGGAGCTGACCTTGAGCCCGATGGTCACAATAAAGGAGGCGGGAATGTTCCTGAAGCATATGCGGCTCAGCCATACTGAGGTGCAAGCGTCTAGGGAATAGCCTATAGTCAGAGGAAGGTTGCATTTTCTTCTTGACTTTGGCTTTGGCGCCTAGGGAGCGGGATGATGGTGTTTAGGGCAGGGGACTAAAGACTAAGGGATACTGGGAAGGGGGGGGTGGGGGTGGTGGCATTTTGCTTTTTCCTCAGCGGACAAGTGCTCCGAAGCCGCTGAAGGCTATCATTCTGCGCCAGAGGGGAAAACGTGTGTGTGTCCAATAGTCTCCATTTAGCTCCTGGCGTGGAGTTGTAGCTCAAATTCCTAAACACTTAGCTATGGTTGTTAGCATAATATATTTGCAGAAATAATGCATAAATGTTCACTTGGCTTTCTATGATGCTTGTAGCGAGAAATAGGCTACGCATTGGCAAAGCAGGCTGGATTACAACTTTACATTTTCTTCTCTCGCTCGTTTAAATTAATTTGTGTAAAAGCTCTGGTGAATAAAACCTATTTCTCTAAGCACTCTCGACTTTTCTCTCTCTCTCTCTCTTTCCCCCGCTCCCTCACTTTATTGCCCTTCTTTCGCCAGGAACGAGCGCGGGCCTATTAGCCATGGCCTGCTAATGTCCTCGCTATGAAAACGGATGAGAATGTCAGATTTAGAACTTTTAAGAGAGTGATGTCATACAGCAGACCACAGGCATTACGGGGGATGCTAAGATTACCCAGGCGGTAACCACACTAATTGTTATGAGTCTGTTTCATGAAAAATGAATGTGTGCAAATGCACAGAGGGGTCTTCAGGCTGTGCGTGTGTGCGTCACACACTAATGCTTTATCAAGGCTCTCCTCTTTCTCTAATCACCCAAGACTCCTCCGAGCCACGGGGTGAGGGCCGAGTTAATGCCTGAACACACAAAAAAATACACATCAGTTAGAACAGCACGCCTGACACACACACACACAAAAAGTGCTCTGCTTAATCTGGTTTGCTCGGAAGGTAAATTATTTAAGAGAATTAATTGATTTCATGAGTATGAAGGTTGAGTATGCTAAGGCCGTATGAGTAATAAGTACAGAGGTTTGCAAAAAAACAACTTAAAATGTAATGAAACATTTAGAGGGCAGAGAGGCACAATGAACGTGGAGGGGAAATGGAACAGCTAATAAACGAGAGAACGGATGTTGTGTCTTTCTTAGGAGTCGCTGAGAGATCAGTGGAGCATCACCTCGTGAAAAAAAAAAACAACCTTTCTTAGCATCTCTCTATGCATGAAAACACAGGCATGGTAAAAGGAGAACGCATTTTGCCTGACTTTCAATCATTGCAACGACTTATTTGTGCGGGACAGAGGGAAATCCTAAAATGAGAGGAAGCTACTTTTTTGTGTCGAGTTAAATCAACGACGGAGTGAAGGCCACTACAGAGTACAGACTGACAGATTGAAGAGTTAACAGTAACACCCACTTTAAAATTGAGATGCTACATTAAGGAGTTCAACTTGAATCTGTATCTGGGAATCAATTTGTGAAATTGGATTGCTGCTGCTGCAAAATGTAACATTAACGTTGATGACGTTGTCATGTTTTTATACTTTTGTCTCAATTTGGATGTAAAATGTCTTGATTTCCTGCAACATACTGCTCTTGCATGTATACTGTATATCAGCTAAAGAAAAAACACAAAGGTAGCTCGATATGGTGGAACGACTTACAACACAATTCAATTATCACACTGGTCACTGAAAGAAAGTCTCACATTCCGGTCTTTAATATTTTCACGACTTCCATTTCCTTATTGATCGACACAAATGGTGATTCTACACGCACATAAATGAAAGAAAAGCAGAAAGGATAATTCATTAATTGTCAGCCATTAAGATGACATTTGATTACAGCTTTCAGAATTGACTCTATTAAATTGTTTTTGCGCTGTTGGCCAGAAAAAAGCAAAACTATAAATTGTAGCACTCATCCTCCATGATGTATGTGCAGTATAATGCTTTTTCTTCTGTTAAATGATCAGAACTATAAAGTGAATCCATTAAGTTGAAATTCTTTCCAAATAAGCGCACAGATAACCTTCCTGCCTTTTATCACTTCCTTTCATCTGGAAACTGTATAACCTTTTGACCCCGGAGTGAGATCACAGTCCAATTTAACTTCAGTGACTCCCTTAAAAACACACTCATTACACTAAGTGTTCAGCTCCAAAGACAAGCACCTATACTTCAATCTCATGCAATCAGCCGCTCCACATTCTCCTCATAATGACATTGTCTCTTAATTTTTTTTTTTTTTTGCTCATGCCCATCAGTCTTTAACAACAACAAAACCCAAAGCTGCTCCATTTTGATAATAAGGCAAGAGCATTATGTGATAATCACAGTGGGGATTAGGTTTTTGGCAGAGTGTGTGAGAGCAGTGTAGTCAAAGCCACTGCAAAGGAGAGATATAACCAAGAGACAGATAAGAGCAGAGAGGAGTGATGATTGAGATGAGAGAAATGAAGAGAGTCTCTTGAAAATCAATAAGATCAACTTTGCCTTGAATCTCAATGTGGAAGGTTTTGATCTCTGGCTCTGATTATTTAGGGGAATAATGGAATTATATGCGGAGAAGTCTAACATACTCTTGAAGGAATTCACCCTCACAAGGTTACCAACCAGAGTTGCAGTGGATACACCTTGAGATACTTCACAGTGAATACTAATTCTGAATAGTGGTAATTTGATCTGCATGCACTGTGCACGACGATACACAGCAACAATCGAGTTGATTTAAACCACAAATATTCAGAATGTCGCTTTAGGTACCCTACACTGACACTAAACTGCAAAACAATAGACCTCAGGTGTTTACACCGTAAAAAAAGAAGCAGACGTGTCGCATTTGAGCTCCATGCATTAAGAGGGGGCTCAAAGAAAGAAAAGTCAACTTAAATGTTCGTCTAATATTATAAATACCATATATTTACCCATTTCTTTTAAGGAGGAAGATGAAAATCAATGTACTTCAGTCTACCCCCGATACGACGAAAACACACTGCACTGCATTTCCGGGTTGAAAAAGGCATCCCGCCTCCTCAAGCAAAAGCCACCAATGGGCGCGCAGCAACGTCATTGTGACGAAGGGAAAAGTCAAGATAAGCCAATCAGATTACAAAGCGCCAAGACAGCGGCAAACTGCAGGGGGAAGCGTCGGTCTGTGAGGAAACATTAAAGTTATTCAAAGTCCTCCGTTGTAGTAACGCCGCTTAGCGACAAAGTTGTTTGTGAAGCCACGGTAATTAACTCACAGAAACACAGCATTTGCTTGCATGCACCCAAAACACTATGCATTGAAGCCCGCCTTACAGCTGCCTTATAGTTGTTGACTATAATGCAGTGCAAATATTTAACCAGAGTGAAACACCGTGATTATGACTTTTAGGTCGAGACTGTTTGCTGTTTCATAAATGCGGGTTGATTAATCAACAGATACTGTTTTCGAGAAATGCTGAAAACCAGCACAAACATTTGCCAACAGACAACAACACCATCTGGAGAAAGGTCGAGGCAGTGTGGTCAGCAAAGTTGTACTTTGACCCCGCTCTGTGCCTCAGGAGGAGAGCGGACAGCTGACACAGGAACAAACAACATTAAAGAACTCTGTGAGGAGTTCAAAGACCTCTACGAGCAGAGGTTCAGGTGCGTCCAGCTGGACTCAGGAGGAAGTGGGCAGGACCTGCTGCAGGTGAGTAGATATATTCAAAGATGTTGTGGTTGGCCGGTTTGTGCAAGGTAGCGTGGCCGAGCGGTCTAAGGCGCTGGATTTAGGCTCCAGTCTCTCTGGAGGCGTGGGTTCGAATCCCACCGCTGCCATTATGGCCAGTTCATATGCAAACAGAAAAAAAAAACAATGAAGTGTTCCTGCTGAATCCCTCAGGTGATAAAATCAACAAGTGAATTCAATCTTTCTCCAGCTGAATCTTGCACACATCATATTGTTTTATTGTACTGTTGTTAGGGCTGGGCAATATATCGAGTTTAGTTTATCAAATAGTTTATGTTGCATTAAAATAACGTTACAGAGGTGCCAGGTCACCTTTTTCTCATCTCACTGATGACGACTGACTGTCTGTCCCTCTTAACTCTGCTCCTCCTCTCTCTCCCTTTTATTGTAAGGAACATTTTTATTTTATAATATTACTTTTTAAATTCACAAACAGGTAGTTTATTTTCTATGTGTTTTCACTGGTAATAAAATACATATAGATATATATCTAGTATCACCATTCAGCTAAACAATATCGAGATATGAGTTTTGGTCCATATCGCCCAGCCCTAATTGTTGTTGTAGCCTCTGTTAACCTCATAAGTTATGTTTTATTTAAAAAGCCATGATTGAGGACACTTAAAAACCAGACTCTCTATAAGATTTGTAGTTTTCTCCCCACATCTGTTGCCATTAGTTTATCATCCATCTGATACAAATCAAAGAGCATCCTGCCCTCCATGCATCGTGCATCAGAAGACGACCTCTGTCCTGTCAGACAAACGACATGAGGAAGCAGAGGGGAGGTTTCATAAAGCCGCAGAAGTTGTAACAGGTGGCAAATTGCATTATGTTTCCATCTGGGCGGCTCAGATCGGGAACAAAGATCCACACTCATATTTAAAAAAAGCGAGGTTTCTAATCATCAGGATTGTCATGTGACATCATTTAGGTACAGAATGTAGCTCGTGTGATCTTGGCTGTGCATCAAAGCAAGTATAACAAGATTTCAGAGATGGGTTTCAGTTAGCTGGCCCCAGTCGTGGACCTGCCTAACAAGGTTATGTGTTTAGAACCCAGGAGCTCCCAAGTCCTAACGGTTGATGGGGACAGTTAATCATAGAGCATGTCCATGGAAAGCATAGGGCCCATTCATCTATTAACCCATTGTAGGTTTAAAATGTTTCCTGACATGATATTTAACAAACTTATAAAGTAAACCCTTGATTAAAAAACATGTTCTAGCATAGTGATCATGTTCAGCTGAAAATATAGAACCAACCCAAAAAAAAACAAGAGTGCAGTGCACTTAAGGGTTTAAAGTACATTCTACAAAAAAAACACCTGAACATGTTCAACAGCTGACATAATATATCAAGTCCTTGTCGTTCTTCAACTTGGTCTTTCAGGTCTTTGATCCTCGTAAAGAACATGGTTGTGTACTTGTTCCTGAAGGGATTGTAAGTAGCCAGATAGCCTACATATATACAGTGGTTCTGTCTCTGATAAAAGAGAGTGCCCCAGAATTTCAGAATTAAAATGCCTTATAGGAGCACCTGTGTTCATGAATGTCTGTCCCCTACAGCCAGAAAAGTCAACAAGCAGTTTATACCGTCCCCAGACACGTAATATAATACTGATGTATAGCTTCAGGGAGAGTGACTTCACAAAGGTTTGTCAGATTTGACAGTAGGGGTTGACATTGTATTTTTAGGTGTTGAACTGAAAATACATCCACTTTGAGAGGCTGGAAGGAATAAAGAGTCACATGTGGATCTTCAGAACTGGCTTTTATTTACCCCAAATTAGGCAGACAGTTTAAGAAACTTAATAAAGTTAAGGACCCATAAAAGTGGGAAACTACTCAACACTGAGGTCAGGCTATAGCAACATAGACTGAGAGTATAACTGCAGAGACATCCATACATTTTATTTACCATGTTTTCCGATAATAACAAGTCATTTCTGGTTGTTTTCTTGAGATCTCGACTTATTCATGTCAGTGGTCCCCAGCACAAAACAAACATAGAAACAGGCTTCACGCACTTCATCAGTGTGGGCATTGGCAACATGGCATGTTGTGGTCTTGCCCATCACAGTGACCAGCCTATTGTTGTGATCTCTAGATCGCCATAGAATTATCATGAGTAAATAAGCTTTGTTATCCCACGAGATACATTAATCTGTTATAATGGGAAATCTGCTTTGTTATCCTAAATAACAAGAAACCTAAATAGAACGATTGGAAATTACAAGTGGTGCAAACGGATCACAAATCTAACGGTTTGGATCGGATCAAGGATATTTGTTATATTATATTTTTATATCTTTTTTTTATATCAGTGTACTTCTCGAGGAACACTGTTGGATTTATATAAAAAATAACCCAAGTTGTAAATATTTTATGATGAACAAATAATGAGTTTACTGCTTTAATTCAATCAGGAAATGTCCTTAATTATCATTTATTTGTCTGATTCAGTAAAAAAGAAAAATCCCATCATTTGAGAGAAATATTTGTTTCTACTGTTGCCATGTTAAAACACAGCAGATAAACCACTGTCTGATCCTGCTCTGTTGTTTTTCTGGCAGAAGAAAGTGAATTTCCTGCAGTCTTATGTAAATGACCTTGAAGACCAGAACAATGTGCTGGTTCAGACCATTGAGGATCTGCAGCAGGAAGCTGACCACAAGGTTTCTGATGTGGGAATGGAGCTACAAACCTCGGGTTGCATTTTGGACGTAAGTTATTATAAATGTTGTACAGCATCTACTATAGAGTATCACCGTTTGTTTTGTTTTAAAGTGCTGTATCACTAAAAATACACAATATATATATATCTTAATGAGAAAAAAAATGTGGTGTCCATTCCTAAGAGAAGAGGGTTTTGATACATGAAGAGCTTCAGAATATTTTAGAGAAATGTTTCATAGTGTACTGACAAAGGCAAAAATATTATATATAAGCAAATATCATCAGCTTAAGAAATATAATGGGTTAAGAAAACAGGTTAGGAATTGTGATTTCATTATGTTCAGTTTATTTGCGAGAATGGAATCAGCTACCAGAGTACACCCATGGCTCCTGTATTTCCACACTTGCATAAAAAAAGGCATTAAAAACCTCCAAAGCTAAAAGAAGAAAAACACACATCAGACTCAGATGTACAGCTGGAGCCTGGCAAAGTTTTTTAAAAACATGTTTGAAATACAGTTACCTTCTTTAATATTACCTGCTTCTGTTTAACCAGATAGTTTATGCAGAGTTGTACACTAAGTGGAGCAGCATTCAGAATAAAACTTTAACTCATTAAGTCATAGACTGTATATAAAAATGAACAACATGCCTCAACCTACTTCCTGTTGTTCAAAGATGAAGCCATAGCTCCCCCTCGACGGGCACTGACATATTGTGCAATTGGTGCCAGAGTCTGTGCAGTACGGATCGACTGGAAGAGCTGCGGTGTTGGTGTCACACCGCTTCCGCTAACAGAAACATACATACAGTATAAATTACCTTTAAAACTGCAGAGATCCCTCAGGTCGGTGCAGTCTTCAGCAGAACAGATTCTTGTGTCGGTTTGAAACAGATACTCACAGTTGTGGAAGTTCAGTCACTTTTTTATTAGTGTTGGTTACGTTTCCTCTGGCCATTTCTCCTCTACTCTTACGCACAGCAACATAGGAGGCGCATTCATCAACAGAGCGGTCAATCATGGCATTTTATCTTTGCGAAAATATAACCAATAAAAAAGAAGCTTCTGAGGTAAGAAGAAGGTTTGAACATCAAGCAGCCTGATAATAACTATCATGATGAAACTGGGTTTTTGAAAAAAAAAAAAAATTTAGATTTTATGGTTTCAGCCATGTCCCATCTGTTAAAAATTATAAGGGGGGGTTATGACCTTTACAGTCAGTCAGTCAGTAGCTGGAGCTATAAGTCTTTTGGCTTCACATGTGGCGATGTGTTGCCCTGTCCATTCTTCTCAGAGTCAATGCATTAATTTCCATACTTATGGTAAAAAAAAAAATATATAAAAATGAGCATAACAATGAGCTGTCTCAGAATAACAGCTCATAGATTTCTATTCTTCTCTTTCTTTCTATTGTCTCCAATATTCTTTGTTTGTATGCAATACATCAAGGCCAAGTCCTCTTTGACTTTATGGAATCCAATCAGCGGAGATCACGCCGTCTATGATGTTCATCATCTCCTATTGTTTAGGCAGAGTAATATCACTATATATAATAATAGCAATAGAGAAAAGCAATTAGGACAAGCATGGAGGCATGTAATAGTCTCTAGG